GAAGAAGCTGAAGGAGACGACCTCGTACACCAGCAGCTTCTTCACCACGTCGGTCCCCGCGTCGCACCCCGGGCGCTCCTCCAGGCTTTTCTGGCCCGGGGTGGCGATCGACAGCCCCATGAAGACGGCCACGGAGAAGAGCGAGTTCACATTCACCAACCCGTCGAGCGCCGTCACGTGGACGCTGGTGGTGCGCCCTTTGTCAATATATTTTCTCAAAAGCAGAGCAACCCACACCATGGGCAAACTCACCAAGGTCAAGAGTTTGTGATTACGAGATTTACGACCTCAAAAGAAACAAAACCTATGTTTATGACAAAAAAACACGTTTTGCATGTGACTGTGTGACAGACAATATGTGCTAACAATCCATGGAAAGAATACACAACAATGATATAAATTCTGCAATTTGAGAACAGAAAATATATTGATCAATGGAACAAGTGTACTTCATTTATATTTGAATATAAATATGTACCGATAAAAAATGTATATGTATAAATATATAAGGAGCACCAATGTTTTAAAATATAAAATCAAACAAGTGTACTTCATTTAGTTCGTAGTTCATATTCAACACTTCAAATTCAGTTCTACACAAAAGTCTTTTATACGGACAATAACCCTTAATTCAAACGTTAGCTTCCAGTTACAGCTTGTTGTATCGAACATAGCCTATGACTAAAGTTACTACAATAGTCATTACACTCAAGAAAACACATTTTTGTAAACAACTTTTATTCTAATCATAAATATATAACTTCTTCATTTTATAATGAAAGTATGACTCAATTAATATCAATATAAAATGTTAAAAATGAGAAAAACAAAATTTAATCAAGAGGAAATAAAAAGGGAAAAGTGTCAGATAGGTCCTCGAACTTACCTAAAAAGGTCAAATAAGTGCTTATATAGGAGCCTCTGTCCAGCCATCGCCATTTGGGGCGCTTCCCAGTGGAAATTTTTATGCAACTTTTTGAGCATCTTATTCATTAAGTCTAGTTTACTCATACCAAATTTCAGCTAAAACTTCAATCCGGAAGGCATTCAAATTAATTCTTGAAGATGATTGCGCTTTTAACTGCGCAGTTATCTTCAAGAATTAATTTGAATGCCTTCCTGATTGAAGTTTTAGCCGAAATTTGGTATGAGTAAACTAGACTTAATGAATAAGATGCTCAAAAAAGTTCATCAAAAAATTCCAGCGGGAAGCATCCCAAATGGCGACGGTCGGATAGAGCCTCTTATATAAGGACTTATTTGATCTTTTTATCTAAGTTCGAGGACCTATTTGACTATTTTTCCCGAAATAAAAATATTAGTAGTATTGACTGCATATTTGAAAAGACAAAATTTAAATAAATCTAAACTAGAATGTAATATGGGGTACTCCGAATATTTTTAGATACAAACCATATTTAAGCCTAAAATTTCAACAATTTATATCCTAATACTAATATCATATGTTGTTTCTGTTGTGCTTTATAATTTTTTCTTACCCAAGGGGGTTGGGGCTAGGGTGCTAGGGGAGCTTGAGGTTAGCAGAGCTAAAAGTGTTTCGATAGAGTTTCAAACCCAAAACCTTCTATATGAGAGTGAGTCGGCAAATAATTGAACTTGACCACTACGTTATGCTTTCTAATACAATATAATATCGGTTCTAATTAAATGTTACTCCCCCCATCCCACTTTAAGGTTCCCACACGATTTACAAAGTTTGACTGACCATAAAATTAACTTATCCCTGTTATTAATTTAACATTTTAAATAAAATTTACATATTCAGAAACTACATTAAAATCGTTACAAAACCTGCAAAAAATAATTTAAATTTCATAAACTTTAGATGTATAAAGTAAAAGATTAGGAACAATGCATGTTGACCGGAGAATAGTGTATGAGAACCTTTAAATGGAACGGGGGAGTAATATTTTTTATTGAGATGAATTCCGACCCTATGACCTTTTCTGTGAGACTGCCACTATAATATCATCGAATGGAAACTAATATTACATGTTAATGGCTTCTTATCTATAACATTGTTTTCAAACAGAGTTCAAAGAGAAAACTGGAAGACGAGATCATAAACCAAAATACATCGAAAAGTTTTTCAACACCCAAAAAATAAAAGAATAATACATTGATATAAGATCTCGAAGTGTCACTAACCCTTGCAAAAAATGTCACAAACATTTGCCTTTTTTTATTTAATCCATTTAAAACTTCAATTTGGCACTTATCTCCATTTTAGCATTTCATATTACATCACTATGACACTATATATATGTGTATTGTGTATAAAGAATTAAATAAAATGGATCAAGACGACAGGATCAGGGTCCTCTACGGCATCGGACGGCAGTATAGCAACGAGGACGGTCTCAAGATCGGCGAAGGAATGAATTATCTTTGGCGCTTAGAATTTTTTATCGAACGATCGGGAAGAGCCGGTCAGCCAGGCACCCTGCCATGCTCTAAAGCAAGGCAGAGGCTTCGGATCCAAGACAACAATGTATACCAAAAGTTAAGAAACAACAAGATGAGGAAACAGCTAGAAATGTGACCAAACACAAGAGGATGAGAATGACATTGAGAAGCAAAAACAAAAGTTCAAGGAAATACATTGGTGTATTTCTGTTGGGATGAGTTGATTACCCATGCCAAATAGCATAGCCAGCCGTAGGGATGTAAGAACACAAGGCAATAACTACTGAAATCACCAAGACTCGCACGGCATGGCCGGAAGATTGGCTCCCACAGGACAGATTCCCGAGCCGGATCTCAATCACATTCACCATAGACAGGATCAAAAAAATGCAGCCCAAAACGGTCCCAATAGCAGAGCCCGTCATCCCAAGCTTCAACACTATGGTATTCACATGGACCTTTGAGGCCTCATCATCGTCTTTGCTGTTTATCACATTGATGGTCAGCTTCAGGCCCTGGGCCAGCAGAGAGGAGAAGAGGAAGAAGCTGAAGGAGACGACCTCGTACACCAGCAGCTTCTTCACCACATCGGTCCCGGCGTCGCACCCCGGGCGCTCCTCCAGGCTTTTCTGGCCCGGGGTGGCGATCGACAGCCCCATGAAGACGGCCACGGAGAAGAGAGAGTTCACATTCACCAGCCCGTCAAGCGCCGTCACGTGGACGCTGGTGGTGCGCCCTTTGTCCTCCGAAGACATTTTTTATCTTCTGCTCTGGTCAAGAGAATGGTGATATTTGCTAGCTTTTTCCCTCTCTTGGTATATTCTGAATGCGGGAAGGGGGGCTTTTATCTATCAAACTGTGGGTTGATGATAGCTTTTGAAGGAAAGGGGTTAAAGGGGTGTGGAAATTTGGAATGTTTGAAGCTTTTTTGCTATGTTTTTTGGACTTGAAAAAAAGTGGTGTCTTTGCGGAATGGCAGTTTCATACCAGAGACCAACTGATATCATGATTCATTCATGACACAGAGCAATGCACACGAAACTACATAAGGGAGATCGAGTGGGAGACTAATATCATCATCACCTTAACTCTCCCAAAGTCGTACATAGTAATTTGTAAATGGTATCTTTATTCCTCATAACAGTTTTTTTAGAGTAAAAAGAAACTTATGTTAATCCAATTCATGGTTACCCAAAGAGCTTACAATAACATCAGGCTGGGAATAAAAAATAACCTCATTATATTTAAATATCCTAGAGTGTAGCATTATTGATAATAAATAATTGATTAATATTGCAATAAATAATTACTTAATATTGCATATCCCAGCATTATTGTACACGAAGCAACATTCCATCGTTTATATTAATCACTTAAGTGTTATACACTATTAAAAATTAACTTAAAGTAGACTATTTTGTTAGGTTATATGACCATTTCTCCCTTTAGATCTTAATAAAGTGACTTTCTTTTCAAAAGAGAAAGTGTTTTTACAGACATTTCAAACCAAAAAGAAATTCCAGGAAAAGAAATTTCATAAAACCTATCTTCATGAAAAAATACAAACTTGATAAATGATAATTAAATACGGAATAACTAAGAGTTTGGATATTTTTAGTGCCAACTATTACAAGCCCGTTTGGTAACACTAAAATTGGCTGTATTGGCTGATCCTGCTGAAATTTATGAAATTCTGGCTGAAGTGGCTGTATTGGCTGATTCAGCTGATTCATGAAAAAATTATATTTAAAATATTTTTTATTAATAAATAAAATAAAAAATTATATGAAAAAATAGTTAAAATGATCCTCTACAGTAACTTCAGCCAATACAACCAGAAAAGTAACTCCAACCTTACTTTTTCAGCTTATTACACAATTCAACGCATAAAATAAAAAATTACGTGTTTGGTGAAAAAGCTGGCTGATAAACCTGATAAGCCGAAAAAAGGGGTCACCAAACGAGCTCTACATCAATAATACTTTTGGTACTCGTCTTAAAACTTTTCCATTCTTATAGGAACATTTTAGTTTTTTTTATTTCTTTTACTTTTTTATAGTGACACTTTTAGTCATTCCCTTATGATTTCATTGTAATGGGTGGAGGATCAAAAGTCACTTTTGCCAGAAGTAAAATTGATTTTTTTTTTAAATTGAGTACCAAAAATGTGTACGGCACATTAGTCAAAGAACAAAAGGTGAAAAAGTTAAAACATGAATATTGAAGTGTCACTAGCACAGTAGATACAGAACCAAAATGAAAAAATCTCAAAATAACTAATGTGTATGTTTTGACATGCTGCTTAGCTAGAGGGTTGAGTTTGAGAATCACTACTCCCAAACATTCCAAAGGGAAGTTTGAGACCAAAAACTTTTGCAATAAAGGAGAACCAAGAGACCATATATCTATGAACAGCCACTCCACCAAGTGCCAATGTAGATGTGTCCCTAGTAAAAAGAAGCTTCATTAATATGAACGGAAAATAACAATTAACGGTAACCACCGCTGACAAAACTCAAGAGCTTAACACACACAAATTCTTATTCATAAAACATAGTTTGAAAGCCCCTTTAGGGGGTATAAATAGACAACTTATCCTTGGATAAAGGAAACTCCTAAATTATTGATATTAGGAAATAAACTGAAAATAATTTAGGAAACTCCTAAATTATTGATATTAGGAAATAAACTGAAACTAGGAAACTAATTAAAAGCCAATACTAATTAAATAAGAATTAAGCTAAATAACTCTTCATCCAGCCTGGCCCACGGATGTGGGCTTCTCCCGACCCCGCCTGCGATAAACAATCAAGGGCCTGCGGCCCTCTGCTTCTTCGTCTTCGGTCGCACGCGTCTGCTCCGTATCAAATGCATCCTCCTTTGGAAGAACCTTGTCCTCAAGGTTGAAATCAGGAAATTGACTCAAGAAGCTTGTTTTATTCATCCAAGTTGCCTCGTCCGTAGACTGTCCAGCCCATTTAACCAACAATTCCTCTTTTTTGTCATTCTTCTTCCTTGTAGCTAATATTTCCTCCGGCTCGAACACTGGACTCACAGGTAATTCCAAGCTTTCCGGTAGCTCACTCTCCACTGGGTGATCGCCAATTACCTTTCTCAGCTGAGATGTATGGAAAACCGGGTGAATACGGCTAGTGGCAGGTAGTGCCAGGCGATAGGCTGCCTCCCCAATTCGCTTTTCAACCTTAAATGGCCCATAGAATTTTGCTGACAGTTTGTTATATGGTTGGCGAAATAGAGTTGTTTGTCGATGAGGCCTTACCTTTAAAAACACCTTTTCTCCAGCCTGAAAAACCACATTGCGACGGTGTTTGTTTGCCTGTGTTGCCATGCTTTGTTGAGCCTTTTGCAGGTTCTCCTTTAGCCGCCTTAGCATAACATCTCTGCTGCCGAGAACCTCTGCCACGGCTGCCACACTGCTTTCTCCCGGCAAAAATCTTCGAATAGATGGGGGTGGCCGTCCGTACACTACCTCAAATGGGGTAACTCTGGCTGCAGTCTGAAAAGCGGTATTATACCAATACTCTGCCCAACTAATCCAGCGTATCCATTGCCTTGGCTGCTCACTTGTGAAACAACGAAGGTAAGTCTCTAATACGCGATTCAACACCTCCGTTTGTCCATCCGTTTCTGGGTGATAAGCCGAGCTAAATTTCAGTTGAGTGCCGGACAACTCAAACAATTCCTTCCAAAATGTGCTAATAAATAGTGAGTCCCGGTCGCTAACAATTGAGCGTGGGATGCCGTGCAACCTAACCACCTCTTTAGAAAAAACTTCCGCAACCGAACAGGCTGTGACGGGACCTTTTAAGGGAATAAAATGTCCGTATTTTGACAGTCGATCTACCACCACTAAAATAGACGTATACCCCTTTGATTTAGGCAGACAAGTGATAAAATCCATGGAAATATCTTCCCAAATTAAGTTGGGAATTGGTAAAGGCTGCAATAATCCCGCGGGTGATAAAGTCTCGTATTTGGCTTTTTGACAAACCAAACATTGTGCCACATAATCTCGTACTCGTCGAAACATTCCCTTCCAATATACATTCATGGCGAGTCTTCTGTACGTACGATAGGCCCCTGCATGTCCTCCGGTTGGTGTGGCATGAAATTCTTCCAGTAATCGTGGTATCCAACTTGAATTAGTTGGCAGGACCAGTCGGCCCTTGAAAAATAGCCGCCGTCCTGTTACTTCATATCCTGGCGCTTTTGCCGGGTCAACAGCCAGTGCCTCCACAATTTCTTGCAAGACATTATCCCTCCGCTGCTCTTCCTCTACATCGGCCAGACCCATCCATTCTGGAATGCTTACTGCCGCCAATTCTACTTCCTTTCCTCTTCTAGACAGAGCATCGGCAGCTGCGTTGGAGATGCCAGTCTTGTATTCAATCTCAAAGTCGTAACCCAATAATTTTGCTACCCACACTTGCTGGGAAGGAGTTGCTATGCGTTGAGTGAGCAGGTGTTTGAGACTCCTATGGTCGGTGCGCACGATGAATTTCCGACCAATTAAATATGGCCGCCAATGTTGCACGGCCAGAGCTAATCCCATCATCTCTCTTTCGTAGGCGGATTTGGATAAAGTTCTGTCAGATAATATTTTGCTATAATACGCAATGGGCCTTCGTTCTTGCATAAGAACCGCTCCAATTCCCGTTCCGGATGCGTCACATTCTACCACAAACAGTCGGTCAAATTGTGGCATGGCTAACACGGGTGCTTCCGTTAATGCCTTCTTGAGTTGTCGGAAGGCCTCCTCGGCCTCTTCTGTCCATCGGAAACAAGTTAAGGCTTCCTTTTTTAAAAGCCCTGTAAGCGGTCGTGCGATCTGTCCATATCCTTTAACGAACCTCCGGTAGTACCCTGTTAGCCCCAGAAATCCTCGAACCTCCCGTGCTGTCTTCGGCCGAGGCCATGATATCACTGCATTGACTTTGGCCGGATCCATAGCTACTCCTTCCTGCGAGATTATGTGCCCTAGATATTCCACCTGAGGCTGGCCGAAAGTGCACTTCTTTCTATTAGCTTTGAACTGATTTAATTTTAGAATGCTCAGAACCTGACTCAATTGTTCTCGGTGCTCGGCCCATGAATTGCTGTATACCAAGATGTCGTCAAAAAACACCAATACGAATTTTCGTAAGTATGGCCGAAATAAATCATTCATGACTGCTTGAAAAGTGGCCGGTGCGTTAGTCAATCCGAACGGCATTACTAAAAATTCATAATGCCCACTGTGAGTACGAAAAGCGGTCTTGTGGATGTCCGGATCAGCCACCCTGATCTGATGATACCCGGAACGTAAGTCAATCTTTGAAAAGACCATAGCGCCGGCCAACTCGTCTAACATCTCCTGTATTACCGGAATAGGGTACTTGTCTGGCACTGTTGATTTATTCAACTCCCGGTAGTCTACGCAGAAACGCCAGCTGTCATCTTTCTTTTTGACCAACAAAACCGGACTGGAAAAGGGACTGGAACTGGGCTGAATAATACCGGCCTGAAGCATCTCGTTGACTAATCTCTCAATTTCATCCTTTTGTAAATGACCGTACCGGTATGGCCGAACTGAAACTGGTTTTGCCCCAGGTTCCAACTCGATACGGTGATCCCTAGTTCGGCGTGGTGGCAGCCCCTGCACTTCTGCAAAAACCTCCGTATGCTGACTGAGGATATCATCTAGTGAATCCGGTGTTGCTTCCTTCCCCTTACTAGCTTCCCTGATGAGGACAATTGCACTGAACTCTCCGTCTGCTGTCTTAAGTAAAGACCGTAAACTGACTGCATTTTTGCACATCGCGGGATCTCCCTTTAACTCAACCTTCTTGCCGTTAAGTTTGAACTGCATGGTTAACTCTTTCCAATTTGTCTGCACCTCCCCCAAAGTTGCTAACCAAGCAACTCCTAGTATGAGATCCACTCCTGCCAACGGGAAGACAAAACAATCAGCCTTGATAGCGCATCCCGGTAAGTTTATGGAAAGTTGACGGCATACTCCTTCGGATTCCTGTCTATGCCCATCCCCTAATTGCACTCCAAACCTGCCAGTCTTGTCTTGTTTTAGTCGTAATAGAGATACCAAGGAAGAAGATACAAAATTATGACTGGCACCGCTGTCAATCAAGACTGTGGCCGTGCACCCCCCAATCATCCCGCGGAGCCTCATAGTCTGAGGGCTGAAAATTCCGGCCATGGCATAGACTGGAAAATCTCCCTCTTGTCCCTCGGGAGGGTCGTCGTCTCGCGGAAATTCCTCCTGCCCCGTTATGTCACAATAATCATATTGCTGTAAGTCCAACTCTTCGTCGTCGTCTGCTAGCATCACCCTTAACTGTTTTAATGGACATTCATGTCCCGGTGAGTAGGGTTTCCGACATTTGAAACACAGTCCTCTGGCGCGTAAATCATCGTAAACCCTTGGGGGTATTCGAGTAAACCTGGAGCGTTCCGTGGCCTGCCCCGATGTTCCGGACGTGGTCCCGGTTACTGGTGGTGTGGTCCCCACTATTGGCCCAGTTGTTTTCGGCAAGCTGCCCCCCTGGACACGCGAACTGCCATTACTCGTAGTTGAAAGCATACCCGGGTTTGGACGTGGATAGCTGTTTATTCGAGACCCGGTTGAGTTAAAATTTGGTCCGCCTCTCCCTCCATTCTGAATGGCTAGATTGTGCTCGACATCCCCGGCCAACTCCATTGCCGTTTCCAGGTTCTCAGGTCGTAATAAACGTAGCTCGCTTCGGATTGCTTCCTTGAGACCACTCATGTAATAACCCAAATAATGATCATCAGACAATCCCGAAACTTGGCTTGCCAATTGAACAAAAAGGACATTGTATTCATCAACGGACCCTGTTTGTTTAGCTCCGGATAACCGTTCGAATTTATTCCCTTTATACCGGGAATCAAACCTGGTTACCAAGGCTTGTTTAAAATCCTCCCAGCCCATACTCGGCTTACGTGATTTGAGCCATGTTGCCCAGTAGAGCGCTCCTCCTTCCATAGCTACCATTGCGGCAGCCACTTTCTTTCCTGGGGGAGAGTTGTGTAATTCGAACTGCTGTTCTGCCCGTGCTAACCACCCGATGGGATCCCCCCCATCGAATGACGGAAGTAATGTTAGCGTTGGATTGCCCAGCCCGTTGTCGCCCTGCTGCGCGGTTACCACGATGCCACCTCCACCACCGGCGGTTGTCTTCGGCACTATCGGCGGTACTAGTGCTTGGGTCAACGCCGCCAGTGAGGCGGCAATCTCCTCCAGTTTTGTACCATGATTACTGAGTGTCTGGTTTATGGCCACCAGTTGCGTGCCATGGTCTTCGAGGGTTTGGTTTGTTCGGGTTTGTTCGGCCCCCAGTCGGGTTACTTCTTCGCCCGTGCGACTTTGTTCGTTCTCCAATTCTTGCAAACGTTCACTTTGAGATCTTGTCATTGTGGCGGGACGGGATCCGGCAGGTCGGACCAATTAATATGAACGGAAAATAACAATTAACGGTAACCACCGCTGACAAAACTCAAGAGCTTAACACACACAAATTCTTATTCATAAAACATAGTTTGAAAGCCCCTTTAGGGGGTATAAATAGACAACTTATCCTTGGATAAAGGAAACTCCTAAATTATTGATATTAGGAAATAAACTGAAAATAATTTAGGAAACTCCTAAATTATTGATATTAGGAAATAAACTGAAACTAGGAAACTAATTAAAAGCCAATACTAATTAAATAAGAATTAAGCTAAATAACTCTTCATCCAGCCTGGCCCACGGATGTGGGCTTCTCCCGACCCCGCCTGCGATAAACAATCAAGGGCCTGCGGCCCTCTGCTTCTTCGTCTTCGGTCGCACGCGTCTGCTCCGTATCATTCATCCACTCACTAGTCCCACATGGATGTAGTGTGAACCAAGGCTGATTCAGGTATGGGTGCTCCTACAGGTATATGATGTAGGATAAATGCTTGGTTAAAACTATAGGATGTAAATACAATTGGAGGTAAATAACTTTACTCTAGTAACCTCTTGTGTTATAAAGGTCCATTTGTGTACTGTCAGTTCCTGCCTTGTGCTTTCAGGGATGTTCTTTTCCAGCTCTTGCAATGCCAAAGGTTGTCCATCTGGGAGATGAAAACAACTAGCATGAAAATTATACTATAATTCATATCTAGTACACATAATATGTCTGGCAGGGAATTGGGTCTGCTTAATTTGACTTTGTGTATTACATCGCTTTATTTATCAGTTTAACCGTTCATATTTTTTTGCTCATTAGTATCAACTAGTAATTTCAACCGTAGCATTGAAGATAGCAGGTAGAAATTTAATCTCCAGTTTAGGATTTATTTATATTATGGTCAGGATTAATTTATCATTAAAAAATTTAAAAGTGGAGCTATTTTCAGTGTGAAATTGAAATATTGTATGCTAATGGGCAAAAGAAACTGGACTGTTGATTTAGTTTTTGGCCAAAATCCTGACAGAAATATGGTCAGGCACAATTAATTTGATCTTTCCTCTTAGAATATATGTTGTCTCATTTTTAAACATGGACATGTTTCTAAAAAATACATAATTAAACTCATTCAACGGTTTCAGTCGCAATTTCAGCCTAATTTTACACTTGTTTTTAAGCACTCAGAAAGGGTTTAGTAAGAGGGGTGGAATACTTAAATATAATCCATAAAACCTAATGACCTGTTTGAGGCACAAATGTGTAGAATTAGACATACCACTCCAATATGCACGGAAGTATAGCACAGGAACCCTATAAGATAAGCTGTAAACAATGTGGAAGTCGTAACAGCACCTTTCACATCTCTGAGGTTGAACCTTTAAACAGAAACAAAAGGGTGAGACTCCTTCAGAGAAAGATGAGTATGAAAGATCATTAATTTCACATAATATGTCCAAAGAAATTAAGAATCTGAAGCACCAACACAAACGAAACAAAATCTACAGACCAATGCAGCACTATCAATAATGTCATCTTCCTCCAAGCAACCTGTCTCTTTTATTATACCGTCGCCATATTCATGATTATCTTCCTGAAGAGAATGAGAAGAAAGTATGAAATTAAGGGCTTGTTTGGTCAGGGGTTGAGAGCAGAAGAATTATTTTCATTTTATTAAATTATCTCTACTTTTTTGCCTTAGACTAGAAAATAAGTACTACACCTCAGTTCCAAAAAAAAGGTCACATTCCACCAAGGTACAACTTTTATTTTCAAAAGGTATAACTTCCACCAAGGTACAACTTTTATTTTCAAAAGGTATAACTATTAGACATCATCAATTAAAGCTATGCTCTAAAATTTGAGTGTTTTGTTTAACCACAAATAGCACTCTAAGTCTAAACCTGTTTTTTGGCACTTTTCCTTTTTCGAAAAAATAGCTTTCTTTTGTTAAAAAAGGATTTGTTTTTTGAAAGAAAAGTATAGCTTCAAAGAGGACTCTTTTTTCAGGGACAGAGAAAATATATGTGCAGTTAAATCCTATATACCTCATTTTTCATCTTGGCTTTCTTTTCAACTATCTTAGTCTAAGAATAAATTAATAAAATAGATATCACCCATCCCCTTCTCTCTTCTCTAAAATCCCCAACCAAACAAGGAGTAATGAATTTCTCTATATGAAGTATCGGGTAAGCTCTCCACAACGTGACTGAGTTAAAGTATCAACTACCAGCACATACCACAATAGACCCGGGAGGTGGAATTACACCATCCACGCAGAGATAACCGTCTACCTGAATAAATAAATTAAAACAGAAAGTAACAATTTTATTAAATAAAATGCATCTTTGAATGCGTCACTAAGAAAACAAGCAAACTATGGGTGTAGGGCAGTACTCCAGTGGAAGGAACCCCAAGAAGCTTTGGACATCTGCACCATGACCATTGAGGAAAAGCAGGGTTAAACTTCTGCCATTGCTCACTAAATGCACAAGCAGCAATGTAGAACTCTCTAGATGAAATGCTCCCATCCCAGGACCCTTTATCAATTATACTCCTTTCTGATGACATTACAGTCTGAACAGAGACTCAGACACCCAATTTAGTACACTGTATGTGTTCAAATTCAAATATAGCATCTATAGTGACAACAACCTTTTTTAAAATTGACTCAATTATGAATTATTGATTTCAATTGTTCTTTTCCGGAAAGCACAGGCACCATAAAAGAAAAGAATCTAAAGCTTAAAGCCTTAAATACTGCCATAAAGATGAACTGAACAGCAAAGAATTCTTCTCTGAAGTGTGAAAACAATTCAATATGCTGCAAAAAAGTTTAGGCATATTTGTACCTTTTTCCCTAAAATTTATCCATCTCCATTTCCTCTGTAATCCAAATGAGAAATACAATCATAATCTTTTATAATTAATTTGATCGTATCTATAACAAGAGATAACTTATATAGTCTGTTACGGCTGCATAAAGACAGGTGGGAGCTAATTCTAGTCTCATTAAATGAACTGCTTTAAAATTTGTTATACCTAATAATTATCTTCTTCCTTGAGCTAGTTGTGATTCCTTGAGTTGGAGAAAGATGTCAGATAAACTTGCAGTTGATATCCCTGTACTGGAGTGAATGCTGAATAAGAGTAGCCTCAGAAGATTTGTAATGACTGATTGACCAAAATGTTCTCCTTATCATGCTTATTGACTGAAAACAACAAATTATTTATATATATATATATATATATATATATATATATATATATATTAAGGAAAATTCTACCGTGCATCACTAAATAGAGAAGGTACCGGTGCACACTCTCTTAAAACAATCAAATTACAAAATCCAACCACGGTCACATCCTAGTCAGCTTAGTATAGGAAATTCTATATTTTGCATTTAGTCCTCAGAAAATGACCAAGTTAAATGTTCAACTTAGTTATCTGAGAAAGCTGATCTCAGATAAACTTGCAGTTGAGATCCCTGTACTGGAGTGATTGCTGAATAGGAGTAACCTCAGAAGTTTTGTAATGATTGATTGACCAAAATGTTCTCCTTATCATGCTAAGTGACTGAAAACAACAAATTATATAAGGAGTATTATAATGAGGAAAATTCTACCGTGCATCACTAAATAGAGAAGGTACACTCTCTTAAAACAATCAAATTACAAAATCCTACCACGGTCACATCCCAGTCAACTTAGTTAAATTACAAAGAAAATGACCAAGTTAAATGTTCAAATACTGATTAAGTTAGTCCAGAAAAATCAAAAATCTCCTCGTTAGTCGGATGTTCACCGCGACGACGATGCCTCCTTTTCAACTATTGCTGATACCTTGATGTTTTTGTTCCTTCTGTAGTTCTGTCAGTGGCGTCAAATCTCTTTCCTGTAACCCTATGGAAAGTGTGGTGATGGACTTCTGATGAGAATCAAGATTCAAATTAATAATGGCATCAGGTTCTCATTTACATGATCCTCTCCCTCTCGTTGCTCATCAAAGCTTCACCGTTTGACGCTACGAAACCTTCAGCAAAAAAAGAATCAGAGTGGCGCTGTCAGGAATGAACACCCCTCTCAAACTCCCAGACAACCATTTTATAGCTCCTCTGCTTTTCTATCATTGTTCCCTAACTTCTCTAATCAAACTACTTACGCTTTATTAATTATCATTCTTTTCAGTGAAACTAACATAGTGCAAAAGAATCTAAGAAAACTACGTAGTATATCACAGGTTTGGGAAAACTTGTCTAACATAAAATTCTAAAGTAACTGCTTGCATTTCACAAACACCATTGTCTAAATTTAAACTGGTGCATGTCAAACAACCTAAACCCCGATTGAAAGAGGTTGAATCTAAAATGTCAAAGATTTTACAAGCATCTTATTTGTAAACTCAAGTTGGATACTTGGATTGTATATCTAAGAAAAGCCTGGCAGAAATATGACAACTAGTTATTGAAACAGGAACATGTCTCTTATGGCATAAACTCAAATTCGTCGCTCCCTCATTCATCCTGTCCTAAGCCCCCTCTATTGCAATTGGCATATGAACATTAAGACAGGGCATCATTAAAGAAATAAGGACTTCGAGTGTTTTTCTTGCCTCTTTGCGTTATAGCCGGAGTGTAATTTCTTTTGGCGCCGCAGGTTCTTTGAGTCGAGTTCTTTTTCCCTTTCACTGCGCTTTCCACTGTTTCTACGACAACGGTTGGGTGACTTGGGTTTAGGAACTTTGTTTTTTGTTTCGGTTTGTGATTACCTCTGTTTTTTTGTAGTCATGGACCCGGTTCGGGCCGCCCGGGACCGGCCCGGCCCGCTACTGTGAGGGCCCAGAACCGGCGCGGTTCTCAGGCTTGGGTCCGGGCTCGGGCCTTGTATTTGGCGAACCGGCCGGGTCAGGCCCGGGTCCGGGCTGAATTGATTTTTTTTATTTTTATTTTTATTTTTTGGGGTTACCCGGGTTGGGCTTGATGGTTAGGAGGGGTTTGGGGGGTGAGGGGGGTTAGGAAAGCAAAAAAAAAAAAAATAACCAAACCGGAGGCCCAGCCCGGCCCGGACCTGGTGGCTACCCAGGCCGATCCCGGGCCTTCCTTCCCAAAAAAAAGCCTGGCCGGGGCCGGCCCGGGTCCATGACTAGTTTTTTGTTTGTGATAATGATCGCTTTTAAACAAGTTAAGTATTTTTTTGAAATTATATGAAAAAAATTATTAATAATAAAGATTGGTATTTGCTGAAAAAGTATTTTTTGGTAAGTAGAGTATTTGCTGAAAAAATATTTTTTGGTGTAATAAAAAAGTGAAGCATTTAAAAGCATGATTCTCTCTGTGTGACTGTTTAGTTTTTCACTTAAAATTGCTCAACAATAAGTAGAAGTTAATAAAACATTAATTTTAGGTATTTCCATTCAAAAAAATTAAACAGATGACCAAATTTTGTGAATTTTCTAGCACCATTTGGAAATGAATTTTAGCATGTCTAGGTATAAAATGTGTTATGTGTCTTGTGTTTTGGTGAAGTTGCACGTAGGGTTGGATTCGGGCCGGGTCGGGCCCGGGTCGAGCCAAGGCCCGGCGGGCTTTCTGGGAGTTGGGGTTGGGCCTAGGACCAGCCCGGGTATCCACCGGGTCCGGTCCAGGGCCGGGCCGGGCCTCAGGCCTCTATATTTTTTTTTTTTGCTTTTTCTAATTAACCCCCGACACCCCCACCCCACCCCACCCCCCAAACCAGCCCAAATGGCCCAAAATACTCAGTCCAACCCGGAAAGTTAAAAAAAATTAAAAAAAAAATAGAATTACGCCCGAACCGGTCACGGAACCGGCTGGGCCGGTTCCATTTTCCCCATACCCGGCCCGCCACCCTCCCTAAACCGGGCCAATGACCCGGAACCGGTACCCGGTTTCTGGGCCGGGCCGGTTCCCGGGCCGGGTGGCCCAAACCGGGTCCATCACTGGTTGCACGTAGTTAAGAAGTGTGAAAATACTTTTTTTTTGTGACTTGAGATTGACATAAAAGCACAAATGCACAATTGTGTCCAAGCTGTCTTGCACTACTCTTGCCTAAGGAGATGTCTGCCCTTTAAAAAAATATTATTTACAGTAAATCATTCTTCTTCTATTTACTAGCAAGGCACGCGCCATGCGCGAGGCTATGTGCCCAATCCATTTAACTTGATTTTTTTTGGAAGAAAGTAAATTAATTGCTATTAAAGCTAGGTGGGTTAGAATTTAATTTGATTTTTAAGTAGTGACTGAATATTGAAATGCAGAGATGAGACAAATATAAGATTAGGAAAGAAATTTTAGAATTGATTTTTACAAAAATGGTCAATGCACGTATCACAAATGCATATCAGCCTATCCTCATTTCTATTGTTGTCAGTGAAGAACTCTATCATATAATGCGACCAAGGCAACCAAGGCACATTACCATATACAACAATGCTTGATGTATCCACTCTTATACCCACCATGTTTGTGAAGTGTTTTTTTGTGACCCGATTCACAGACAATATTTTGTTTGTGCAAAATATTGTCTATAAACTGGGATTCACAGACAAAAAAAACATTTCACAAACATAGGTGGGTACAAATGTGGGTATAAGAGTGGGTATAAGAGTGGGTACAAACATCATTTTTGTACCATATATAACAAGAGCATCTCGAGAAGTGCTGATGTAATCATTAACAGGCATCTGCAGAAGTTACTTGAGAAAACAACAACAAATCTGCTTTATTATTTAGGAAAAATTGATAGTAATAATCCCAACTATTGGCGGTCCGCTCATAATAATCCCAACTATTGATTATTACAGAATAATCCCAACTTTAGGGACCTTCCGCCAATAATGGTCCCTATGAATAAATTCTTGTAGTTTCTAAAGTGGATGAGATGAGATATAACAAGTAATCCCTATAAATAATCTCAACTTTTAATTTTTACGCTTAATTTCTATTTAAAATTCACTTTTTATAGAGGTAATATATGGTAATGGACCATTATTGGCGGATAGTCTATATAGTTGGGATTATACAAAAATAATCAATAGTTAAGATTATTTTCAGCGGATCGGCAATAGTTGGGATTATTATTTTCAATTTTTCCTATTATTTATGTGTAATGTGTGAAATGGAAACACAAAAGACAAAGAATGGTTTGAATTACCAACCACAAGTATATCGCATATTACATGGTAACAATGATTAAAGCTCCATGTGAATGAACCCGGTTCTTTCTTTTGTTATTAAGTAAAAAAAAAGTGAACATATTGGTTTACCATGATGATAAGAATCTGGACAAATACGACCACAAGGTATGTGAACAAAGTGACTGCGTGCTCCACATAATCCAGATTAACATTGTGTGCCTTCTCAATTATAGCCTGGGTATCAAGTACAATGTATCCGACGAAAATCAAAATCCCAAAATACAACTGCAGAGCAATGTTGATTAAAAGTTAGAGTTCCTTACAAAACTACTATTCAATTTTGTTTAAAGATGGGTGGGTGACTGGGGTGAGTATAGAAGTAAAAAAAAAAACCTCAAACTTGAAAAGGATGATAGAACCATCAAAGATGGAGGATGTGAACTATACTGCCACCATGGAACAAGTACTCTCTTCGCCTTGCCACCATGGAAGCTGCCGAGAAACACCCAAATGCCAAAGCACAACCAACAATTGCACTAAGAAGGATGCTGAAAGAACAAAAAAACTTGACAAACATCAGTGACCAGTCACCTTGTGTCAAGTTTAAAACTGGTTCTACATATTGTCAATATGTAAAAACTTGATTTTTGAATGAAGAAAGAAGTTACTATTTTTGTTTAGAAACACATTTTCTGAACTATATGTTGTCAATATAAGTATATCATAAAATAATTTTGACTACATATAACATCATTTTTCAAAATGCTACCGACTGTCCTCTATATCAAGGTAAATGCCCTCTTTAGGCTTGACACAGACACATACTAAGAAAATAGATAAAAAAAATGTAAAAGGAGACGTAGAGGCATTCAGCTTAAATGAGCGAAGTAATGTGATTCACGTAATTCAGCTCATCATGACATTTACTCCGGAACATTTTCTAACAAAAAATAGGATATTTGTTTCGGGATGGAGGGAATAGCATTTCATCATGATCAATTGTTAAACATATTCGTCTTAAGAAAGCTCAAGTACCTGCTTCAAACCGTGGCTTGTTCAAGAAGGTGTTCTAATAGACCTCATTCTAAAAGTTTTTTTTGTAAATCCACCACTTTTATAGCGGATTATAAAAGGAATAAATACTACACATAAAACCAGTAATAGATTTAGCATGAAATCCCGTCTAAGCTTATGGGTGACTGACAACTTGACAAATAGCTGAAAAATTGAATTTCAATATAAAAAAAAGTTTAATTAAGTAAGAGATATGTGTGGATAAAAATAGATTCAACCAGGTTTAACCCATATGTGTCAAATTGTCAATAGTATTCAAATACATCCAAAAGTGTGTATTGATTAATCATGTGCACCATCATCACCTCCCTAACAATTATTTGTCAATACACACAAATAATTTTAATAATATAAACTCAAACACATAATTAACCTCCCTGCAAATTTGAAACAGACAAAAGGTACATTTATAGATAATAACAAATCGTGGAAACAAAGGGACAACAATACAAACCACAAGGAAGTAAAAAAAAACAGCACAAGTTTGCAACCAAAACTTCCAAAACAAATTAAATGAGGAGAACCATAATTAAAGATATCTTTAATCATGTGGAAACATTAGCTCCTTAATTAGCCCTTGAAAGTATGAAAATTAACACAATTACTATGCGGAGCCAAGGGGGGTCAGGGGGGTCAGTCGACCCCGCTGAAAGTTTAAGAGCATAGAGCTCTGAAATATCTTCGATTTGATATATTATGGCCCCCGTAACTCATTACGAGTAAAAAGTTATGACTTCTGCAAAATCAGCACTATCTAAACGTAAAATCAGCAAAATTTGATGAGTAATATTGATTTTTCCCCCAAATTTTAAAATAGCGTATAATTAACCCATTACTTACGTGACATGACTCAAAAATAGAGCAAAAACAGTCTCTTTTATTGTTACGAGTGCCTATTTATCTAAACTACATATAAAATATTCAACTCGGACATTGTTTGGAAACGATCCACCATTTTCATTTTGTATAAAGTTGATTTTCGACCCCCCTGGACCGTATTTCTGGCTCCGCCACTGGAGAACCATCACCAATGTTCGAAATTGCGTTCCGCCTTAACGCAATAAGACTAGTCTTGTGATTTTTTATCATTTTAGGATACAAGGCTGAAACGGGATTAGGCAATATAGAACTCTGCGCCTTTTTGGAAAAGGCGTACGCTTATTGCGTACGCCATAAGTCGGATGCTGAGGCGCGATTAAAAAAAAAGGGCCGTCTTCTGCAGGCTGCATCCTGCAGCCCAGATTAAATTAAAAAAAAACAATACCTTAAGAGGGTTAGACATTCCTAGACGCGTAGTACATAAGGAGAGACATTCCTAGTTCGTAACTTTGTATTTCCTACTGCGATCTTCTGCTGATTTCTTCTCTGCGCACAGAAGAAACCTTCTGCAACTTTTTCTCTGCTTTCATCCTTATCGGCAGGTATGGGTTTAATACTTTATATATTTATTAATAGATTAATAGATGTTCTGGATGGGCACTTAAAAGGATTTTATATAGTTAACTACGGATAAAGTGATTTATCTTGATTTGTTTACGCTCTGTTTTCGGTGTAGTGGAGTTGACTTGAGCTTTCAAAAAAAAATACGGATAAAGTGCAGAAAGAATATTTTATTAGTTTCTTTATGGTTAGTGGATTCATCTTTAATTATTTTAATATACATAGTGGAACATATCATATGGAATTTTGTGGATTTTTTAAATCATTAGGAGTAATACTGATTCTTTTTTGTTATTATTTTAATACATAGTGGAATTTTTATAAGGAGTAATATTTTTGATACGTACTGAATTTTTTTTGCCACCTTAGTGGAATTTGGTGACACATTGATACGTACTGGATAACTGGATGCAAAATATTGTTAATATTTTATATTATTATATTGTTAATATTTTATTTTATTATATTGTTTTTTTAGCTATACACGCTGTTTTTATCATGTCTACGGGAACTGGAAGAGACCCGGCGTGGGAACATGGGGATGAAATAAAGAAACCGGGGTTAGAGGGGAAAACGTACAAGTATGTTAAATGCAGGTATTGTGGCCAACAAACTACTGGAGGAGTTAGTAGATTAAAAAATCACCTTGCTGGCACAAGGAAAAACGTTAAACCTTGTCCCGCCGTTTCTGATAAAATTAAAAATGAGATGTTAAACATGCTCAAGTTGAGTGAGAACACAAAAACTGTGTACAAAAGAAACCGAGAGGAGCTTATTGAGAGTGGTTCTTACTATCAAAGTTCGAATCCATCTGCCGAAGATTCGAGTGGGGTTAACAATTCTCAAAGAGGTGTCCGAGGCCCTATTGATAGATTTGTTGTTGACGTTGACAATGAGAATAAGAATTGTGCTCCGGTCGGTGATAAAGAACGAAGACAACATACTTGCTTGGACGTTGGCAGATTTTTTATTGAGAATGGGATTCCTTTTAATGTGGCCAACTCTCCTTCTTTTATCAACATGTGTCGCTCAATTGGTAATTATGGACGGGGTTTCAAACCTCCTTCACCATATGAGCTTAGCCATTGGATTCTGGATGAAGAAGTGAAAACAGCGCAGAAACTGGTAAATGAGGTGAAGGTGACATGGACTCAAACTGGAGTTTCCATATTATCAGACGGGTGGAAAGATATGCGTGGAAGACAGTTGATAAACTTTCTTGTTAATAATCCATATGGGACAGTGTTCTTAAAATCGGTTGATGCGTCAGATCAAGTCAAAGATGCACAAATGTTATGTAAGCTCCTTGATAGTGTTGTGGAGGAGGTAGGTGAAGATATTGTTACTCAAGTGGTTACTGACAATGCGTCAAACTACAAGGCTGCTGGAAAATTGCTAATGGCCAAGCGACCTCATCTTTGGTGGACACCTTGTGCCGCTCATTGTATTGATTTGATACTAGAGCAAATTGGAGAGCTTCCTCAACATAAAAATGTGCTAGCGAAGGCGAAGAAGGTAACCAAATTGCACAACTTTATAATTATTTTAATTCTAAAATAGTAGTTAATAAATTTATTTATATAAACTGACTGGAATATTAATTTTCAAAACTGGTTGCTATATATTAAAAGTCCTAAAGTAGATGAAATAATCAATTCTCTCAATTCCAAACTAGAATAAGTTGGAAACTGCAATCTGTTGAAGGAGGTCAATTACTAAAATAGTTAAATCAGTTCAAAAATGTAATATATTTGTAAAAGTCAAAGCTGCAGTTAATTTCAACACGGGAGTTTTTTCAATTGGTTCAAAACTGGAGTTGGTTTAAAACTGGAGTTGGTTCAATTGGTTGGAAACTGGATTTAGTTCAATTAGTTCAAAACTGGAGTTAGTTCATTTGGTACGGGAACTAGTAAATTACAAATTAATTTGTCTCAAAAGAATGGTCAGCTCATCATTTAGCCAAGACTACGGAGGCAAAGAAGGTGAAGCAGATAGTGCTGAGAGATAAATTCTTTTGGTCAGGCATGGCTTATGCTATCAAGACAACAAAGCCATTGTTTACTGTGTTGAGGATGGCAGACTCTGAGAAGATGCCCGGTATGGGATTTTTATATGGCTCCATGGATCGTGCAAAAAAAGAGATAGCAAAAAATTTGGGCGGGGACTTGGGTGCATATAAAGAGATTTGGGACATAATAGATGAGAGGTGGGAGTTTCAGATGCATCGTGATTTACATGCAGCAGCATACTACCTAAATCCGCAGTACCAATATGATCCCAAAATGTCAAATCACCCAGAGATCAAAATTGGTTTGTTCAACTGCGTGACAAAAATGTTCCCAGAGCGTAGTGTTCAAGAGAAAATACATCTACAAATGGATGATTTTCGCTTGAAAAGAGGCTTTTTTGGTCATGATGTGGCAAAAAGCACAGTCAACAAGCGTAGCCCTGGTATGAAAAGTTCACAATTTACACACTAATTTTATAATTTAAAAAGATTATAGTATGACTTACTAATTTTATTTTTATAATTTTTATAGTGGACTGGTGGACTCAATATGGAGATCAAACACCAGAATTAACGGCTTTTGCTATTAGAGTCTTGAGTCTAACATGTTCATCATCTGCCTGTGAACGTAATTGGAGCACATTTAATCAGGTATTAACATTGTATGCAAATAATTAAATAATTATTTTCAAATAAATTATCTTCAAGTAAATCAAATATGATTTTTATATTACTAATATTTAATACTCCGTAATATTTCTTAATTTTTAATTCACATACTTGTAGATACATACGAAGCGAAGGAACCGTTTACACACAAATACTTGTGATTATAGCACGAGTGAACCCGGAATCCATGCTTACCTTCCCAATCAAAACCAGTGGTAAAAGAGAGAAGTCCATAACCCGAGCAAAATCATGATCCAAATCTGCTCTCTCCCGAAACGCACGTCCCCAGTCCTTCCTTAACCTGATGGCGAGCAAGTAAGAGCGAAGCAGAGAGAGTAAATACCGATCTTCAATCGGCAAGATTGAAATCGGAAACACGGCCTAGCGGCTCGCGGCGCAAGCCCTATGAGAAAGTACAGACTTCTTTTTGCATTTGTAGTATTACTATTATAATTTATGAAAAATTATATTTAAAATATACTTTATTAATTAAATAAAGAAAAAAACGAGAAAAAAAAAACAAAAAGTATCCTCTGCTGTAGACCTGTGCAAAAAAAGGGTTTGGGCCGGACTCGAGCCTAGGGGTGGACCGGGCTCTGGGCTCGGGTCGGGTCACGAGCGAGACTAGGGTTGGAAGTTGGAGACCCGGTACCAGCACGGGTAGGCTCCGGGACCGGGACGAACCTGGGTGTAATTTTTTATTTTCTTATTTATTCCTAGTTCCTACCCCCCACCCCCAAACACCCCCAAACGACCCAGCCCAATCCAATCCAACCCCAATCCTTTCGAGAAAATTAAAAAAAATGGCCCAGTAGACCGGTCCTGGACCGGCCGAGACGGTTCCAAAGGGGCTAGAGCCCGTTACCCACCCCCAACCCCCCCGGTCTCGGTCAACCGGTCCGGGCCGGGTACCGACGACCGGTCCCAGTCCAAGCCTACTCGAGCCAGACTTTTTATAATATTTTTGCCCATAATGTGTGGATGGGCCTGGCCCGACTCGCAAAAAATGGGCCTAACCCCATGTCCATACTTTATAAATATATATGTATATACTAAATGTAGCGGGCCGGTCTTATCGGTCCAAACAGGCCTACACCCTAACCCAAGCCCCACCCATATGTTATCGAGGGCCGGACCTGACCAGGTGACTAAATATATATGTCCAAGCCTGCCCATTTGTCCAGACGGGCGGGGCGGCCCGGTTTTGTGTAGGTCTACTCAACAGTAACTTCAGCCAATACATTGAGAACAGTAATTACAATCTTATTTTTTTATTACACAATTTAAGCGGGGAATTAAAAGTTATGTATGTGGTGAAAAAAGTTGGCTGATATGCCGAAAAACAAGCTCTTAAAACTACCTTATCTTTTGTATAAATTTGACCAAATAATGGTCTCGTTCAAAGGTTCACACTATTCTTTTTTAAATGTTTCCATTTTTCTGTTTTAGAATACGGTTAACACTCGAGAAAAATATCAATTTTCTTTTTGAAGAAATGATAATCATCTAATATTAAAAAGTATAGCTATAACATCAAAAATATTGTCAATAACCCCATTATATTATGTACACATCAAAACTATATTTTTTTCTAGATATACTTGAATAACCTTATTTAATTATCATGTCGATTTGCAATAGGGGCTTTTAAACCGGACGAAAATTAGGTACCTAGAACAGTAAAATATAAAATGTTTAGTTCAAAAGGAACCAAATATATATTTAGATTTATATGGAGGAGAAATACTTGAAAAGTTTGGATCCGAATGATCAATTGGACCAAAGTCTGTTAGGTTACAATTGGTCCAATCCGAAGATTCCAAGAACTTTACATACTCCCTCCGGTTTTTAATAAACTTCACACTTTCCTTTTTGGGACGGTTTAAAATAAACTTCACATTTCCTTATTTCCTTTTTTGGCAAAGAAATCTACATCAAAACAGTGCCAAACAGTGCCTCAACAGTGCCAAATAGTGTCTCAACAGTGCCAAACAGTGTCTCAACAGTGCCAAACAGTGTACTCTACAATAAAGTCAAATTTCTTTTCTTATTTTGTGTGAAGTCAAAGTGTGAAGATTAAAAAAAACCGGAGGGAGTATCATATTGGTTTTAAGCTTGGATTGCTCAAACGAAAGGATGGTGGTGAACGACTGAACGAGTCAAAACCCACTTATTCTTATCCTTAACTCAAAGATTAAGGTTGTCAAATTGTTACAACATGGTCCAAGTCTTAATCTAAATTCGAAACGTTATTTGGAATGGGCTAAAATTAGTCAACATATAACATTTTCAAGAAGAAAAAAGTGGCTATTATTTTATAGTGGTACATAATACATACCCGGTATGTGTAATTTAATTTCTATATTTAATAAGAAATTGACCCTAGCATTAATTAAAAACAAAGTGAAATCTCAATATATGAGTATTGTGTTAAATGTGAGTAATTACGGTCATACATTTAAAATATTATTAATTATGACATTAATATTGTCACAATAATATTTGATATGCCAAAAATATAGCAGTACATGTATTTTCAGGATGACATAAATATAGTACTCTTGTGAATCTCACAACATTACTTTTACTCGGATTTCATAAAATTTTCCAATTTTAATTGATAAACTAGTATTGAACCCGTGCGATGCACGGGATTGCACGGGATAATAATGTTTTTGTGTTGTTGTGGTTATTAGTTATTTAAATATGTTTCTGATAATGTATTAATTTGAATAAAAGTGTAAGTAACAAAATATACAAATAACCAAATTAAATCAAATACTAATTTGTTGATTTGTACAAACTAATTTGTAATTACTTCACAACCTATATTAACAATCTAATTATTCTATTTAGTTATAAAAATAAAAATTAGTTATACTTATAATTTTTGTGAACACTTTTAAAAGAGTGCACAGGGTGAACACTTTTAAAATATTTTGAATATATAACTAACCGAGCAATCAGCTAATGGAGTCAAAAGTTGATCAATTTAATTAAATTCAACTTATTCAATCAATTTTAATACCATCACACATGTTTTTGTTTCTCGATTATTTCTTTCTCCACCAAGTTATATTCAAGAGATTTCACGTTCTCATTTCTTAATTTTTATCTTCAATTCTTATTTGAAATAGGAAAAAAAAAATGGTAATAATCCCAACTATTGGCGGTCCGCCCATAATAATCTCACGTATCGATTATTTCAGAATAATCCCAACTTTAGGGACCTTCCGCCAATAATGGTCCCTATAAATAAATTCTTGTAGTTTTAAAGTGGATGAGAAGAGATATAACAACTAATCCTAACTTTTAATTTTTACGCTTAATTTCTATTTAAAAACCACTTGTTGTAGGAGGTAATATCTGGTCATGGACCATTATTGGTGGACGATCCATATAGTTGAGATTATACAAAAATAATCAATAGTTGAGATTATTGTCGACGGACCGACAATAGTTGCGATTATTATATTCAATTTTTCCTTTGAAATATGGGTCAAATTTAATAAAATTATACGGAGTAAATGACCAAGGGAGTGCCAATAATTTTTTCCTTTGCACAAAGAGAAGCCCATATATTTCATTTTGTTTTTGGCATGCACAGATAGTCCTTTGGATTTTTATTAGCACAAATTCATTACAATTAATTCTCGCCTATAAAATTTTTTAGGTTGATTTTTATCCAAATGTTTTCACGCCTACGTTTCAACGTGTAGGGGTACTCTCCAGATGCCCGCTCCTCCCCTTTCCACACAACCGCCTAAATCATACACACCTCATCACCTACACTTTCTTCATAACCGCCTTCTCACAAAAGGTATATTTTTTTTTCTAAAGGTATATTTATTCTATAAATTACATCCGTCTTGTGATGAAAAAGACCATGACAAACAGCATCTTCGGCTTGAAAGGTTATTTTGTAACTTTACTTGAGTAGAGATGCTAAACTTGGTAATCAAGACCGATTCTTCATCTTCTGCGACTTTCACTTTCATATTCGTTATCCTCATAACCATGAATCTTGACTCCTCTTCTTTCACTTTTTAGGAGACCCATTTTCACTTTCCTTTCATTTTGATATTCCATTTGTTTTCCTTTGTGGCATGAAATCAGATCTGGAGCAAAATTCATTCGCAGATGCTCAACGCTTAAACAAAAAAAAAATACAATTTTATTTATGTAGTGAGAATTGATGATACATAAAACATCATGATAGAGACATACTATGATGCTATTCTCTTGAATCAAAGTATTTAAGTAGTCCGTATTTTTTCTAAGAGAATATTATCTTTAATAGAACTAAAAATGTTTTAAAATTCCAAAATAGGACTACCATGTTTTTATTCTCAAAATAGGACTAATTACCAGACTTCAAACATGACAGTATTTTCCAAACTTGGCAGTAATTACTCCTATTTTGGGAACAAAAAACATGACAGTCCTATTTTGAAATTTTCAAACTGTTTTAGTCCTATTTCGGGAACTTTCCCCTTTTCTAATTGTGTGTTATCATCCTTGTTAATTAGTGAGCAGTTGCATTTAGGCCTTTTTATTCCAATATTACTAAAATGAATGAAAATGATAAAAAAGTGATTTGTTTTAAATTTTTCTAAAAATGTGACTAAAAGTGATTTATTCCTTTTATTTAATATACATTTATTATTTCAATATTCCTTTTATTATTTCAATATTCCTTTTATTCATTTATTCCATTTACTACCAGAAGCACCTTTGTGGCCGCTTACTCAGCACCACCGCGGCCATCACC